AAACCGAGCACCAATTATTTGAAACGAAGCTTCTCTTACAGCGGGGCCATGTTATGGAATAACTTGCCCAAAAACGTAAAAAATGCTGCATCCGTTGAGCATTTTAAGCGAAATATCAAGAAGGTAGCTGATACATCGGATTCCCACACGGCAATCATGTAAAGCAGTTGTAATTAGTTTTAGTTTTTAACTTAAGCTTAACTGATGATTTCCCGTGTTTAAATAAAGATTTACATACATACATACAGTACTGCAACCGCTATAGATTCCAAACGGAAAAACAAACATGAATCTCAGGGTATTTCTCATATCCGAATCTCATTTTCCTTTTCGTTTTTTAAAGGTTTGGCCATGGATGAACTCACCACTGATGATAACAGCATTATAAATCCCAGTCTCCTAAGGGTTTTTCGAGTCGCCAGAGTGGCCAGGTTACTCAGGGTCCTACAGTTTGCGCAGGGTATTCGTCAGCTTTTGGTTGCGCTAATAATTTCGTTACCAGCTCTTTTCAACGTTGGCACGTTACTATTTTTGGTTATCTTCATATACGCTATTATTGGAATGTCCACGTTTGGTCATGTTAAAAAACAAAACAACATAGACGAGACAGTTAACTTTGAGACGTTTGGTCGATCTATGATGCTGTTGTTTCGCTTGTCGACTGGAGCTGGCTGGAATGATATTCTTGAAGCTCTTATGCTTCGAGAACCCGATTGTGATCCAAATTATGGGGGATTCCCCAACGGAAACTGCGGATATCCCGTGGGAGCTGTCATCTATCTTGTTTCATACATATTTATTGTTTTCCTTATTATAGTGAATATGTACATTGCTATAATCCTGGAAAATGTGTATCGATCGCAAGAGGGGAAACTGTTCATTACAAAAGAGAACATCGATAGTTACTATCAGAAATGGTCCTCCTTTGTCACCGACGGTAAGCAATACCTTCCAGTTTGTCAGCTCTCTGATTTTGTGGCTTCGCTGGACGAACCATTAAAGATTGCCAAGCCAAACGAACAAGAACTGGTGCGAATGGGAATCAGCGTGAGAATGGGGTATCGTGTGGAGTGCTTTGATCTCCTTCGATGTTTGGTGAAGTATTCTTTGGAAAGGAACGGCGAGTCTCCACGCGCCTTTGAGGAAATCGCTTCCAAATTGGAAAGCCGTTTTCGAAGACGCGTGGTCAGGAAAAAGGGCAATTCTCCGATGGGTACATCTCCCTCCGTATCCAACGAAAGCCAAAATGAAATGGTTGACATTGCTTCGGAAATACAACCAAGACCTATTTCCTCACCAAGCAATACCAAGTCTCCTGATAGGAAATATTCAGCTCTATTTTCTAAGGCTGTTATCCTTCGAAGAGCTCTGAAAGGCTTTATGGACAAACGTAGTACTCGTGGGGACGTGTCGTTCAAAGCGCCTAATGACATTTCCAGCGATCGCGTTCGTAAATGTTCATGCAGCCCGCTGTCCTCTGTCTCTAGCAACCAAGAAATCTCTGATCTTACGCTGGGACTGGACTATACCCCTAGAAGTAGATCTCAGGTTTCTGTAGATAGTGGACGCAGCAGTACAACTGTCTCTCCAGACTGTGTTGTATCTCCAGAAGGCTGCGCGTATGACCCATATGACTCTGAAGGGGACAGCGTGTAATAGAATATAATTTCATTCATGTGGCAGAGTGACTGAACGAATGCGAATATTCATACCAAAATGAAGTAAATGGAATAGGAAAGATGGATAGAAATGCATGTTTTGCTAGGTTATATGCTGTGAGAGGTTACAACTGCAGCACTGTTTGCAGCTGGTGAATAGTCGGGACGTGAATCCAACATAACTACAAAGTTCATCAACAGATGAAATACGTTCATTTTCGGCAAAGTCCAGTGCACTCGTCTAGCGATGGCACATTTTGTAAACACCACAAAAAAGCCCGCCAAAGGACGCCAACATGGCGGATGCCCAAATATGGAAAGGTCTCTGACGTCACGTGCAAACCAAGCATCAGTTCTTTTATTACCAATAGGAGATTAGCTGACTATAAGTTGACTGACACAGTGCTATACCTCATATTACGTTTTAATATTAACAGTTTTAGAATCATGTTTATGGCGTCAGTTTCCAGTTGACAAATTTTCAAATTAGGAATTACATAGATAAAAACTGTATCAAATGATTCTTATGGACAAATTTGACACGAAACTACTTATCTCATGTAGATTTATTGAATAGTAAACCCCGATATTTGGAAAACTAGGTCACGCGGTACTAATTGACGTTTGTCGTGTGCAGTCTGTCAACGTGATTCTAAATCTGTTTAATAACACCCTGGAGGCCTCGGCTCCAAAATAAATTCGATCAGCGCACAGAACTTTCAGGTTTTATACATTTTTTCTGTAATTAGAAAAACAAAGGTGTTACGAGAAGGCCAAAACCACTGAGCACACCCTCAGGTCCATGTTAAGTTAAATCATAGGTGTATTCCTGCCTGAATTAAAAAATCAAAAGGCCACAAAAACATAATTTTAGGACACTATATTTCGAAACCATAATATAATGGGTGTTGTTCATATTGAATAGATAACTTGCTCAAAAAGGAAATGACAACATAAAAATGAATTTTACCTCTAATGATGACAGTAATAGATAATTTTTCATATCCTGTGATGACAAGAAATGGAAGTTATATTTACCCAGCTTTATTAGAATTCACAGCAGTGATCTGTTGGTTTCTATTAGCGTCTTCTATACTGTCACGGAAAGTAAGTGTTGTCGTTAATCTTATTTTTTATTATTATTTTTTTTTCTTTTAAAGAATCGGTCAATATTGTTAGTATTGATCCATTTTAATTTGCCGTATCTTTCTGAAAACATTTTTGGGTCTGTAAGAATCTAAGAGACCTTTATTGTTTTATTTACTTTGCGAGAAATTGTGGGTGATGTACCGTAAAGTCGTGGCGCGATGGACGCGACACTGACCTCGTGAGGTATTATTATTCGCTCTTGCCTTCATCTCATATATGGTTTTCATTTCCAAACTATGAGGTTGATGTCTCTTGTCCACCTCAAAAATAAGTTCAATTTAAAAACGCGTCAAAACGCTCTTGTTTGAACAAACCATCTCATCTCAACGGGTTGATTTCTACTGTCCCGTAATTTTTACATGCGTACGTGAGTGAAATTTACGTATCTTGCCTCCATTTTATTTACGTGATAAACATTTACGTGCGTTAACGTGCGTGGCCAAAAACGCGTCAGTGGAAATCAACCTTCACGTAGAACATGCATCACGCGACTTCGATCTGATTGGATAATTGCTTGCTGTGTTATATGCATCATAACTTTGCCGTTTTTGTTTTAAATATACAGAGGAAAACTCGCGCATACTTTCTATACTTTGCTGGCAGGTGAATACTGCCTTCCACGTTCTCTGATTGGCTAGTTTGAAGATAAATGGCGTTTGTAATTAACCTTTTCCCCGTTGACCATTTCACCAGCCAATCAGAGTACTTAAGATAAACTGTACACCTGTTTGGTGAATATTGCTATTTTCATATCCTGAAGTGCTCAACGTTGCAAAGCCATTTGTACGGTGTTGGCAAGTTGCTCTGTCAGTTTTTTCAGAGGCTCAATATCGTCACAAAAGGTGGGCAATTTTTGGTTTCTCTTTGCTTTGTCTTTGTTTCGGTTTATGACGACTAAAGATCGCCTTCGTGTTGACATCTTATTGAAAACCGTCTCCACTTTTCAAACAAAGTCCATAAACACAAGCGACAGTAAAGGGTATTTAATGTAGACATTACCTTGAAGGAACAGGTCAATGCCAAAAATTTGATCTCATAAAAGGCGAGGATTATCTTATTTTCCGCTAACTTGGTGTGTCAATTTGTCCGATGGATTCGTTGGCCGCAACATCGCAATTATATCTTAAATGCTAATTCAATATCCTATCTTACATTAAACCTGCTATGCGTCGTGATCATAATTGCAGTACAGAGAGCTGCATTAACATGTGTACCTTGCTTGGTTTCTTTAGATCTTCTTATTTATTACTCTTCCCTTATAATATTCTTTATGAGTCTTGTGAGCCATCGGGGTCGTAATTGCTTTTATGTGACTTTAGGGGCTAATAAAAACATATCAATTATGAAAGATCAAATATTCAGTTTTCACTTTTGCATTGAGTCTCTTTGGTCCTTTGGTCTTAGTACACTTAAGCTCACTTAAGCGTATGAGGGAACGTATAAAATGCCATTTATACTAAAACAAGATGATTTGTCTGAATAAATACCTTATAAATAACACTGAAAATGCAGCAAATTGGAATTGGAGGATTGACTGTACCTCAACATTTACTTGCGCTGCTTTGCCGCGTATTGTTCAAGGATGCATAAAGGTATTAGCATGAGGAAAGCCAGGTGATTATAAGGTTTACAAATAATGCGAAGAGAGCAAACATTTTTGTTGGAAAGTTCGATTTGTCACCCTTGCTTTAAATAAATCACTAATAGAATGATAAGAAACTTTTATTGATAGGAAAAAATATTGTTTGTCTTTTATGCGCCTGGGAAAAAGCAGTTGACACTTTCAAATCATTCTTCTTGAAATTATTAAAATTGTATTTTCCCTTTATCTTGTTTTTCTGAATACTTGCTATTAATTTTTATTTACTTTATTCTTATTTCGGGGCGGCCTGACTTGAAAAAAATGCGCCGTTTGTTGGTCGCCCAAAAGGTCAAATAAAAGTAATGTCCAGCTGCTTGGTTTCTGCTTGACCTCGCCCATAAATTAAAATTTTCCAATAGAGTACTTTCATATTTTGATAAAAGATTGCTCATTATTTGTTGATGTATTTTAATTTTACAGCTAACATAACAGTTCAGTGATTCTCCACTGTAAATCGACCAAAGGTAACCATGTTGCTAAACACCTCTGACGTCACTGACCCTGGTCACTCGTCCTGTTCGATCGCTGTTTCTATATTTTTCTCAACAACCATGGCTCTTATCACCTTAGCAGCTTTTATTGGCAACATTCTCGTGATTGTCTCAGTTTACAAGACACCTTGCTTAAGGACAACTGCAAACTACTACTACGTCAATATGGCAGTTTCTGACTTTTTTTCAAGTCTTGCTACGTGGCCGTTGTACCTTGTAAACGAGATTGTAACAACCAAAGGTAGTCTTTTTCAAGGTCCTTGGGCAGATGTTGGATGTAAATTAGGAGTATTTGTAAGGCTGTCGTCTTCTTCTGTATCGATTCTGAGTATGGTGCTGATTGCTGTAGACAGGTTCATCGCCATCGTACTTCCCTTGAAATCCGTGCTCCTCACAGGCAAACTAAGAGCTGGATTGCTGCTTATAACTTGGGTAATATCGACATCGACTATTTCGCCCACTCTATATTATAACAAGGTTGAGACGGTCGGTGAAGAAACATACTGTAGATTTGCGTGGAATCCTTTTTCAATCATGATATTTTACATAACTACCATGACAATGATTAATGTTATACCTCTAATTACAATTACCATCCTGTATTCTCGTATTCTACGTGTTTTACAAAGTCCCAAGGAAGGACACCAAGCGGAAAGCACCCATTCAGCGGTAAAAAAACGTCAACAACACAAAAATATCATGAAGATATTCAGATCTATTGTCCTAGCGTATTTCACATGTTTTTTTCTTTTTTGTGTTTACTTAATTTTGAAGATCACTTTCGCCCAACTTTTTGTCGAAGATAAGTGCAGGTGGATCTTAGGGTTTGCGTATTTCGTGTTGCCCTCGCTTAGCACTGCAGTCAATCCTGTAATTTTGTTCCTATACAGTCGAAATTATCGTCAAGCGTTGAAAAGCTTGATATATCCTCTTCCCCTTTTCCAATATTGGCATTGTTACAAAGGCAGAAACGCAAACATTACGACGGAAAAAGAAAATATACCCCTGGCAAGGCTGGCGAAATACAGGCAGAATGCACCTTGTTAGCAAGTGAAATGCTGTCACTACTGAAAACATTGAGATTGCACTTTGAATACGACACAAGAGGAAGAGAACGGCTCACTATCAAACACTTCTGTCTACAGCTGCGAATTAATCAAGAGAATTGGCAAACGAGAGGTCTGTCAAGCTACATTCAGATCTCAAGGTCTCTAATCGGACAAACGTTTCAACAACCTAGTGCACATGAATGCTATCTTTTAGATACATGTGTAATGTATATAGTTAGTTCATTCTGTTGGTCCATTGCTGCTGCTATCATGTGCAGTCATATGTTTGATAGGCCTTGACACTAAAGAGCCATCTTAGGGGATCCTTGGAAGGGGCGTAGCCAGGATATTGCCAGAGGTACGCACAATTTTCTAAATATATGTTATTCAAGATTCAGTTTACCAATGAATGACATCGCTTCTCTGGAAACACACATTCGGTTGTAAAAAAAAAGTCTGATGTTTCAGAAAATATATACATACATTTAAAAGGAACGAGCAGAATTAAAAGATTTGAGAAAAAAGATTCGTTTTTTGATTTTCTTGATCTTGTTTTATATCACTTTAGTTCCACTTTTTTTACCTTCGACTTCTTCAGGTACGCACGTGCGTACCGTGCGTACAGGTAGCTACGCACCTGCTTGGGCAATCTTAATCCCATAATTGTCAGTGTAATGATATTTTGGACGTTCTACGATAATGACCCCCCCCCCCCCCCCCCCCCCCCCCACCACCCCCCGGGAAAAAAAAATTTTTTTTTTTTTATAAAAAAAAAAAAGAAAAAAAAAAAAAAATAAACAAACAATTTACTGAAGGAAATTGGGGGGGGGGGGGGGGGGTGTTTTTTTTTGTTGGATTAGTGTTGTATTTTTATTTGTGTTGTTGTTGTTTGGTGGCGCTTTTTTTTTTTTTTTTAGAAAAAATTGTTTTTTTTTTTTTTTTTTGTTTTTTTTTTATTCCTTTGTGTCCTCCTTTTTTTCCCTTCCCTTCTTTCGGGTCCGCCCGTGCGTCCGGGGGTGACGGGGGGCTCCCCCCCCTCTTGGGCAATTTTAATCCCATATTTTTAGTGTTAATAATTTTTTGGAGTTTTTCCGTTAATGCCCCCCCCCCCCCCCTCCACAAGATGTGCCAGTAAGGAAGTAATTTCTGTTTAAAGTATGTAAAAAAAGGAGGAAAATTTCCGAATATCAACTACTTGGTAACAGTGAGTATCTGGGCTGGGCAGTGGCAGTTTTCTTTGTGGACAACTGGGAATGTTCAATTAAATGGTGTAGCTTATCTGCCGGGTCTCAATTTGCTTGTTAAATAATGTGCAATTCTAAATCAAAGCTAATCGAACAATCAGCCAAAGTAAGGGTGGAAAAGTGATTTCAATTACATACTCTTTACGCACCCTTCCTTTTATCTCCAGTCCGCAGTCCACAGTTCGCAGTCCTGGTTTTTTTAAAAACAGGCCAGGTTATCAGCAAATAATGGCGGTCGAAGTGATGGAAGCAGTCGAAAAAACTTTTGCAGTTTTCTTTAACATTTGGCCTAACGGTGGAAAGCTGTGAGATGTGAGTGATTTTTGCCTTGCAAAGTATCAATATCTGACATTGTTTTGCGAGGTCTGCCCCACGAAACCGACATAAACATGAAACATTGCAAGATGAAGAAGGTAAGCTAATCGCGCGCCTCAGTATTTTGTACCAAAATGATGATACAGTTTAGGACAGTTAATCTGACCTTATCAGTTGCAAAGTTTACCGATCGTGTATTTCCCCTTTGTCTTAATCCTGCAGAAGACGCTCTTCGGCGGCTGTTTTTGAAGTATCGTTTTTAATCGCTGACGACATTTTGTCCGCAATTTCTGGTAATGAAAGCATCCAAAGTATTCAACGAAGCATTACTTTTATGTAAAACTACAACGTCTTTTGCACTAAGAATTTTTAGGCAAAAAATAAAATCCCATTAAACTACAATCCTCTTCTATCAAATCGCACATCAGGGCTGCCAATAGTCAACCAGACGTGCCTTGACTACCATTAATTTAACAGTTAATGACGTCTATAGATTTAATTTATTGGGTACAGTCTAAAGCAGTATTTCACTCAAGATGAAGAATTCACTCGGATTCTCAAGTTTCACCACACTGTTGTCGAGGCAATGAAGGATCCTGGAGCCATCGTAACCTCACTCTGTTTTGGTCTGAACAACAATCAAATGATAACCTTCTTTAGGCGCTATTATCATCTCATTCTTTCTGGAAGACACCCTAACAATAAGGAGCTCATTTTGGGGGTCCATATCCCGCACCGTGTTGCTGGCCAGCATCGTTAAGTTCCTGCATGCGGAGGCATACTGCAGTGTATTAGCATTGTCGAGGTCCGTTTTTATTGGTATTCCATCAGCATTAACCACTATAGTTCCTACCACTCCTTTGTGTGATTGTATACGCTTTAAACAGGCTTCAACACCAGCTGCAGACATGTTTCTGCTGAATAAGATTCAAAAGTTAATTACGGTAACATCGTAAAGGGAGTAAGGCTGGCACATTCGTGACAGTACTCGCCTCTCACCAAGGTGGCCTGAGTGTAAATTCCGGAGGTTACCCTCATATGTTAGCTTAGCTAAAAAATGTTAGGGTGATTTCGGGGCGATTTCTGAATCTGAATAGCATATCGTGCCGATACGAAAATCTATCTAGTATGGTATGAACAGAGCCTAAAACGTACATGACGACTGAATTTGCTCGTGGCGACCGGCCCCTGAATCTATGTGGAACTACGGTGTTACAAGCTAGTAAGAATATTGTTTGTGACTTGCTCTGCCTTTGATAAGCAATCGATTCTTGCAACGCTTACTAGGTTAAAAGACTGGATCAGAGGCTTCGTTTGATAACAAGTTTTGATGTAATCCAGGCTAAGGTCACGTCCACTCCAATCCTATTTTTCGTGTCAGCGAAAACTGACGCATCGAGCCTCACGAGCCTTAATTTTCACGGTGTCAAATTTCCATGCCGTCATTTAAATTGATGGATGATTTTTTAAAAAAAAAAATTGGATTTGGGTTTCGGCTTCTTTTACGCTAAAGAAATCTGAAAAGGATGACGTATCTTTATAACACGCAATATGTTTGTTTTCTAAATTGTGATAAAAATTCATAATGAGGTGCAAGTATTCAATCTTCAGTCGTGGGTTTGATTACATCGCGCTCACGTCGATTGCTTTCCTGAGAAGTTTTGCTAGTTAATTCAGCCAAAATTTGGTTGCGGAACTTATTTTTGAAAGGGAATAAACAAGGATTTTATCAAACAAAAGCGTAAGACATAATTGTACTCACTTCATAGTATGGTGCCAAAGGCCTATTCAATTTCAATTCCGCAATTACAGGAAAAGTTAAATATGCGAATAAATTAAGCCTGTTATTTTTATCAGGGTATATCCTGAATTTTAACTCAGTAAAAAAAAGGAAAAAAACTCAAAATCAATGTAAAAGTTCACCACGTATCTGCCTAGAAACTCGGAGAGTCTGAGATCATCTAAATTGTTAACAATTATATATATTGTTCTAAAAACTCAAGAGATATGTCTTTTGTGGAGTTGCCATGGATGAATGCGCTTATCCGACAAAAAAGTAAGGCAATGTTTTTGACTGCAAGGCTAAGTTGACTATAATCCACCATTTTTAACAAATGCATGTTCACAGAATGATGATATTTAGAGCTTCAAAGATGAAACATTCACACGTGCATACCGCATATGCGATTACCGCAAACGTAAAATGTCCAGTGAGACCGGGCTTCACTACCTAAGAAAATTGAACCAATGCAAAAACTTTTCTTCCGACTCTCTTTCTTTTCTTGTGATTCGCGCTTGAGCTAACTACTTTTCCTTTTGGGTCCAAGTAGAAACGACTCGAATACAAGTGGCAAAAACCGTGAAACGCGGCGCGGGCACCTGATGCTTAGTGTTGTGTCTGCAAGTAAGGCACGGCTGAAAATTTATTTATTGACGATCACGCTATTGCATAAGGTTTGTAGTTGGTTTAGTCGTACAGGATGTCTTAATTACTGCAGATTACATAATACGCTACTCTCATATAGTAGAAAAATCTAACGAAGTCACCTTTGCTACCAAAGAAAAGTTGTGTTCGAAATGAAATCAAGAGCCGGTCATGAAATCCGGCCCCAAGGACCAATCAATAATCATGATTGTTGCTTACCTGTTGTGAATAACAAGCGCGATTTTCACTTTAATGCAAATTTGACACGTTAATGTCAAGTGCTTGCCAATCTGTTGCAGTTCCTTCAATCTTACCGTCTTTAGATAAAACTGATGTATAACTGTACTGAGTACTGTATATCGCAGTAATCAGTCACTTTACATAGTGTTGATGAATTAAACTCTGCTATTGTGACAATACAAAAGATTGTCTTAAGTAGGTCGCTATGGAAACCCTGACTACTAGACTGTTTCAACTTTACTACACAACAGACAGGAAACTAATAACTAGCGAGAAAACTGAGTAAGTGTCTGGTGTCGTCGTTACGTTGCTTTCCAAAAACATGAAATATTATACAGCGAGACTGTGGTATCTGACTCGAATGGTCTAAATGTACCGAAAAAAGTTAAGAGAATTAAGTAGTCTAAAAACAATTTGTAGGAATAAAATGAAGTATTTCTTGTGATTAAAACAAAAGAAATGTCTGTACTTGTCCTTACCTTTGCCGTGCATTTTCTTATATCTTGTATAACATATATATATTCGTATTTATTAGGCTACTTTGACTCTTTAGTTGGATAGTAAAATCAACTTTCAGATGTTTTACACTTGTATTTTTGATAGTCTATACTGCTAATTACCTGTTTATATACCAGTTGATTCTCTATTTTCAGCTGATCGATCTTTAGACAGAATAGACAGAGGGTATTATTATTATTATTAGTAGTAGTAGTAGTATTAGTATTATTATTGTTGTTGTTTTTGTTATCTATGCTGTGTTTTATTTTTCTGCCA